ACCATTCACATACACTATTCACTCACATCTATGACCAATTTAGAGTCTCTATTTCGCCTCAAATGCTTGTCTTTGAAGTGTGGTAGGAAACCATGGTACCCAAAGGAAACCCAGGGCTCGAAATAGCGGGTGCATTGGTGCGCGTGTGCACCCGGTTTTCGGCAGGTACACCCAAAATTTAAAGTCAAATGCACCGCGTGCTCCTAGTAAAAATCTGCCCCCGAAATAAATCTTCTTTCTACAAATGCGCTCATCCTTACCTGAAATGATAAATTTTATCGGTAAGGGACGAGAATTAATGACAAAATTGATGCGACTACAAGGCTATGGAACACGTTTGGTCTGAGGCCGCGTATGTGCTAACATTGGCTGATTGCGTAATGTATATTTCTCATCAAAGACTTTTTCTAATCCAGGATCAGGGAGTTTGTGGGACATTAGCCCTCCGCGGCACCAGGGGGCGCCGCCAGCACAGACCACGATCCGCACCAATGGGACTGCGGCCCTACGGGAGAAATAAATGACGTTTTACACTGATTGGTTGGACACATGAAATTATGCACGCGCGTACTCCGGTAGACACTTGGGAAATTGTAATTGAGATTCATGTTTGAAGATCCATTCTCGTTGGTTGATGTATGCACTTACTCATTGGATGTAATCTAAGTGGCTGCTGGGTGATTAATAAAATCTTACAGAAAAAAAAAATTCTTCTAGATTAAATATAATCTAGGAGGAGAGGGTCTTAATTATGGAGTTATGAAGAATGAAAAAATATAAAAACAGCAAAAAGCAGCACTGTTGCTGCTATTGAGGCCAGAGAGGTCCTATGATGGAGTGGTGGAAAATTACTGTAGTTTCTCAGCCAAGTCAAACAAAGTGAAATTAAATTCTAGATTGAATATTATCTGACTGTGATAAATAACAATAGTACACTCAGTTTTACCGATTTCTTCGTTTTTCTTTTTTTTCTTGTATTTTTTCCATTATTTTTCTTCAATACAGTATTATTTTAAAATACTACTCAAAATTTGATAGGGATCATAGGAATTTTTTTGTGAAATGACATGCAAATTTGGTAACTGCCACTGATGAACAATATATTGGATAAATGACATGCAGTCAGACACAAAACACATTTTCAAGTGCATTTAATGACATTAAATGAGCGTGCAGCCTCACACTTTTGGCTTTTCACTTAACACTTCATGGTTTCACCTCTGACATGTAAAGTGAAAACAGACAGTGTTCGTTAGATGTTTCATTACCACAGTTAATGTCAATAACGGGTATGGCCTCCCCTAGCTTGAATGACGGCTTGACAACGTCGGGTCATACTGTCAATCAGAACCCGGATGCTTGCAATTGGAATGTTGTTCCATTCTTCAACAAGGGCATTTCTGAGCTCTTCTAGAGTTGTGGGTTGTGCCCACGACCCGAAATGGCGACCTGCAGCATGTTCCACACATGCGCGATAGGGTTTAGGTCCGGCGAACGCTGGCCAGTCCATGCGGACAATTGTCTCCTGCTCTAGGAATTGATTCACCACCCTAGCACGATGGGGGACGGGCGTTATCATCCATCAAGATGAAATCAGGGCCAACAGCACCAGCGTATGGTCTTTACGTACACATTGAGGATCTCATCCCTGTACGCACCCCTGTCATCGTCCCTCTCCCCATGACATGCAGGTCCGTTCTGCCGTTCCTGCTTATTCCTCCCCAGACCATAATTGATCCGCCACCATAACGGTCGTGTTCGTTGATGTAGGCATCATTAAATCACTCACGTTGTCTTCGCCACACCCGTTGCCTCCTGTCAGTAAAGTCCAAGCAATATCGGGACTCATCAGTAAAGAGAACTGGAGCCCAATCGTTGTGTGTCCATGTGACATGATCGTGAGCCCAATCCAAATGGTCACGCCTATGACGCCACGGTCAGTGGGATTGAACACATGGCCTTCTTGAGTTGAGGCCGGCAGTATGAAGACGATTCCGTGATCGTCTGAGTGGATACCCTGACCCCGAGGCGTTATGAAGGTCATTTCGTAGGGTGGTGGCTGTCCAGAAAGGATGACGTCGTGCCTGAAGTGTGAGAAAGTGGTCTTGTCGTTGTGTAGTCGATCTCTGATGACCACCCCCATGACGGTGTGCTGCTGTACCAAACGTTTGATGCCGGTTCCACGCTCTGTTCACAACGCTTTGGCTGATGTTAAGTGCATTAGCAACGTGACGTTGTGAGAAGCCAGAGTCAAGCATTCCGATGCATCTTCCCAATTGCTCTGAAGTCAATCGACATCTAAGACGTTGAGGAGACATTGTTATTGCTAAATGTAATGCAAAAAATTTGGGAACTTCCAAATTTTCACCAACAAGCAACACACACGTCTGAGTTGAAATGGTGAAGTGTTAGTCAAAGCCAAAATGTGAGGCTGCACGCTCATTTAATGTCATGAAATGCACGTGCAAATGTGTTTTGTGTCTGACTGCATGTCATTTATCCAATATATTGTTCATCAGTGGCAGTTACCAAATTTGCATGTCATTTCACAAAAAAATTCCTATGATCCCTATCAAATTTTGAGTAGTATAAAATCTTATCCCACCAATAATCCTAACCTGTTGCACCACTGCAAATTTACAGTATCCTATGGCATATCAAAGAATATGAGTTTAAGAATATTTGTTTATTCATTTTGAACTGCTGCAAAGCGGCTTTTTTATTGAATTAAGCAAGTTTTAGACTGTGCACCTAAACACGCACGAGTGCACCCATTTTCATCATCTGGGCGCACATGGGTGCACCCAATCAAAAAATCCTAATTCGAGCCCTGAAACCCATAAAAACACAGAAAGAACAAGCAACACCACTTAAATGCCCCCAGCCAGATTCAAACCCTTGATCTGTGTGATGTGCAACAGCAGTCTTATCCACTACACCACCACATACACAACCCCACAATCAAACTCTTATAGATTTTTTTGCATCCATTTATACACAATATTTCGCAAAGTACAAAAGTAAAAAGATCATTGGCATTGACCAATATCACTCATTAGCACTAAAATATCGCAAACAGTGAGTATAATAGTAAACTAGACAGTTGGTCGCCTGCTGGTCGGCGTCTCTGTCTGGACCATCAAAAGCAATCACTCCCCTAATGGATACGCTTCGTGACCTTACTACACACAAGTCCAACACTAAATGTGAAATGAACCAGTTGAAATTTTTTGCCTGCAGAGCGCTCGCAAAAAAATCTGTACAGACGCGGCGTGACAATCGCTGATCCATAGTATCCCCGACTCGTCAACCGGGGATACAATGATACTGAAAAAATAAACTGGTCCAGTTTTCACGGTGTTATTTCCCCAGCATCAGTGCGGCCGGCCCTTTACCTGCACTGAGTTGAGCCTGCAATAGCCGTTGAGGGGGAAGCGGATGACGTGCGTTGGGTCCTGGTTCCAGCCGGCGTTGACCGAGTTGCACATGACGTCGCCCGTCTCGGGGAAGATCTCCTCGATGAGGACCTTCTCTCCGCTGAGGGCGATCCTCTCGCCCAGGTCGGGCGTGACGCGCACCACCAGGCAGTCGCAGGGCTGGGAGAGCCGGCTCTGATCCCTCTCCTGTTTCCAGCGCTCGAGCTCCTTAATCATGGGCGTGAGCTGGTAATATCGAGCCTCCTCGTACAGCAGGTGGAAGTCCTGCATGGGGGGGCACACGAGGAGATTATTAGAGAGAGAGATTAGGAGGTACAACCCACTATTAATGAAACATACCTGAGTGAGAAAAAAGAAAAACTAGACAGTCCGGTCATCCGCAACCGCATGGGTGTAGCCCCCAAAAGCCCGCCTCTACCCTTTTTTGCGCATTATTTGGCCAATACTGTTGCCATGGCAACCAAAATCGATAGGTGTCATGACTTAAGTATAACACATGTCCATACCAAATATGAAAGTAATTGGTCAAAAATTACAGCCTGTGCAGCGTCCAGAAGGAAGTGTCTACAGCGGAAACAACAACCATGAACCCATAGTAGCTGCCCGACTTCGTCCGGGGGCTACAATAAGTCCATATTACCAAGCATTTAAATCTTGTATTTGAACTGAAAACGCTCAAAATAAGCTAATATTTTCCACTTGAGAGAAGAAAATAAGAATTTAGGTCTTATAATAACAAGATTAAAAGACCTGATAAACAGACACTTTTTGCAGTGGATTAGTTTTTACCCCTGGAGAAGCGAAGCCTAGGAAGGAGTGTTGTGATGAGACTTGAGCGTCACTCACTAATCAATCAATCAATCAATCGATTTGCCATTAGCATCACCACGGGCGGTAAGATAAATATGATCTTGGCATGGATGACTGGTCCCTAATTCACAAACAGCTGCTCCAGGAGTTAACGATAGTGTCACTTTGATTTACTTTTGCATTTATTTGCAACAAAGTGAAAGAGGCCCACATCTTCTATGAAAGGGAAAAGACAAAACTGACCCAAGATCAGTGCTCTTGCGATGAGCAGTTTTAACAGTGGAACAAATGGCATCATTGGAAAACTGGTCTGAGATCTCTGTTCCTGCGTTTAAAGGCTTTGTAAATATGGGCAAAACTTCCTGCATTTGGCCCATCCTAACTACTCAGGAACAGTGGGCAACCACAGTGAAGGGCAAAGTCCAGTTAGGAGGTTTGAGTCCAGAGTCCAGAGCGATGATTGGAGTATTCTTATAATGATGCATGTTCTTCAAGGTAGAAGGAAACCAAAGTTCCAGGAGAAAACCCACGCATACACAGGGAAATAGCTCTGAGAGGACCTGGCAGGACGAGTCATATTACACCGCAGTTGCTTAGCCAATGCTTTTCCTCAAAGTTTAGATGACATTGAAGGAGCAATCAAAGGTGCTTCTATCCTCCTCCTTTGGGCAGCTTTGTGACTCAGTAGTTTGGCTGGGACTATTGCAGTAAGGTTCGTGGTCTGAGCCATAGTCAAGCCATCAATACAGGGTTAGCTCCATAGCTCAGGGGTTAGAATACTGGTATTATGAACCAGGTGTTGCAAGTTCAATTCTCGTTGGGGTTTGAATCAAATTTTACACGACGGTCCACAAAATGCGAGAGAAAACCCACTGAAATACAGGAAAATTGTGCAGGGAAGACCTGGATGGCGAGTATATATAACACTCCAGTTGTTCAGCCAATGCTTTTACCCAAAGGTAAGATTAGAATCAGCAGCCGTCAATCCTGTGGAGCAATATGGGGCCAAGAGCCTTGCTCAAGGGCCCATAGAAATGCACTGGTCTTATTGCAACGACAATGGGGCTTGCACCACTGCCCTTACAGCAATAGGCCCAGCTGAACAATTTACTAACCAGGCTGCCCAATGGAGGAGGATAGAATTATGTTGAAGAGCTGCTTTGTGTCAATGAATCAATCAATCGACCAATCATTAAATCTTCAGACAATCTTCATGCTGGAGTGAGTCTTACATGAAACTGTTTCACAGAAAACATTTCCCTTTAAAACTCAAACGAAATCCCCCTTGAGCTAATCTCGGCAAGACTAAAATGATTCCCTCAAGCCCTTAAAAGGCAATCAAGCTGAACTCCAGGGATACACACAGTAGATCAGCTCATTACGGGGGCGTCGACAAAAATAGGTCAGCACGTTTAACGGCGACTGCCTGGCTATGCCACTTGAGTCCTGCGATGGACAGTTCGGAACATCGATGGCTGGGCTAACGCTGCAAATAAATACGGTTGTGACTCCCAATCAGACTGATTAATGCAGTCACGTTCGAGTGCAGTTCCGTCGAGAGTGACATCTGTATTCTACAGTTCAGGAACTGACAGCCAAATCACAGCGCAGAAGAGGTTCTTTTGACAAGAACATACCAGAACTACACAGGATATACAGCTAGCGCCCAGACACATTAGCGCTAACAATACCACAAAAATAGATCCCTCACTCATACACCCATGATAATCAATATTAGACTTAGGAACCACACACAGGAAGAAGACACTATTTGATCAGATTGGGCTAGTTGTTATACACCACTCTGCAATTCTCAGTGCTGCATTTCATTCAGGATGCCTTAGTGCTAAATTAAGCATACAAAACCAGGCCCGCTCATCACAAACCCAATCTCCACACATACTCGCCCCCATAAAGGAGACTGCCAAGATGAGAGTGCCCAAGTCTATTACCCATTACACAGCCCTGTCCCCCTCCCAAAAAAAAAAAAAACCCCACAAAATAGGAACCAATTTCTCCCCTACATTTCTTTTATGGAACCGTGAGAACCAAGAACACAAGTTGGCTAACAGCAAAAAATGCTAATTCCTGCTGTTCCTGTGCTGCTGTACGCACAGGCAGTTATTAAACGAAGAGACAATGGAGTCCAGGAATGCGTGAGGCCGGGCCTGTCGGGGGGATCCTCAGCGGTCGTCACGCGTCGACAGAGAGCCGGGGGCGAAAATCTCCGCTTGGATTCATGTCTCCGCACAGATTGCCTGGCTGCACGCCTCCGGGGCCGGGTTGCCAAAGGTAATTTGCCCTGTCAGGCCTTGTCTCTAATTTCCCACAAGACCAGATGGCACCGATGCTGAGTGCTCGCCCAGGAAACAGAGGGGGCGTGAGGGGGGGACAACAACTGATTCGACTCAACCAGGCGAGCGAGTAGACAGATTTATTTGGAAAGCTGCATGTGGTGCAGGGAAATAAGTACATTTAGCCTAGCCATTGCTAATCGGCCACACGCGCCATATTTGCGTAGGCAAAGTCCCATCAACAAGGAATACATATCCACTTTCAATTTATTAACCCATCTGGTGAAACCAAGCGTTATTTCACATTTGGGGGGGGCAGCTGATTTGACTGAACCAAGTGAGCAATTAAAGATAGATTTATTTGGATAGCTACCTCTGGTGCAGGGAAATAAGTACATGTAGCCTAGCCTTTGCTAATCAGACACACACACACACACACACACACACGCAGGCACATGCGTGACATTTGCGTAGGCAGTGTCCCTTCAACAAGGAATGCAAATCTAATATCCATTTATTAACCCATCTGGTCAAACCAAGTGTTTATTTCACCTTTCACATCCTAGCATAAAGTCAGAGATTATCATTCCAGGGAACCATTTTGTATCTAAATCTATCTGAATGAAACATGGTCCGAAACTTTGCCCCTTAAATTAACGCTTAACATTTTTGGGGTCAATTTAGACAACATTCAGTGTTTGACATTTGTTTATTGAATGAAAATGATACCAAGAAATCCAGTCTTGGCTCCATGATGCTGCTGTAACCTGTTTTGGACTGTACTGGTGCCATCAACTATGATGGGCTTACCGAAAATATCAACCGAGGAGTGAACCAAGGAGTTTAATTTCAGGAAACACTGTCCTGACAGCATCTGAGTTGCTGGGCTGCACCTACTTTAAGAAGCTCATTCAGGCTAAGCCTTGTAAATAGTTTAAATAACAATGTGAAAGGTGAAGGATGAAACAAGATTTATTGATTGTATTGGTTAAATTGATTGTTAGTCGAACCTACCATGCGAAGTGAAGTGACCATGGGGAAATTTCGCAATACACTTTTTTCATTATAATTTGCATTCTTAGGCCAAAGTTATATCTGGAACTACTACAAAGTGAGCACCTGTAATCTAAAAGAATTATGTTCTTTATTTGATGGAATTATCACCAGGTGTGCTACCAGACTGTCGTCAAATGTCTGCAAGGACGAAAACCATAACTAAGGCTGCAAAAGATAAAAAGCAAAACCATTGGAGCCGATCAGAGTAGACGCTCGCCCCTCAGTTCACGCACTACAGCCAAAAAGCAACACATCCCTTACATCCCTTACATAGGCTATCTGTAGTCATCAACATGTTCCATAGGGCATATGGCTCAATAGCTCAGGGGTTAGCACACTGCTCTTGTAAACTAGGGGTTGCAAGTTCAAATCTCACTAGGGCCTTAATCACCTTTTGCATGACTCTTGACAAAATGCGGGAAAACAATGTCAGCAGCATTCTGGCCAATATGTACTAGGACAAGCTAATCTTCTCGCATTCTGGTTGGTGTGGGAGATGTATAACGCTGTAGCCCAGTACTAGCACACCTGCCTCTACTTATCAAAGTCTGGACTCTGATCGTTGATTCGTTGAACAGCACACACATGGATCTGCACTCATACAGAAGAACCATCTGCATCTCCAACTCCCAGTGAAAAAAGTTCCAGGCAAGGTCTCCCCAAATCTGGGGCTCGAATCCAAATCCAGCCCAGGTTTTCTCATCCTCAAGGTAATTAGTTGAACAGTAATTGCCGCTGATTGGCCGGACTGTAATCACACAACTCCAAGGTAAGGTTACGGGGGAAAACCAGCAGTTCTTGGCCCTCGAGGGAGGGGATTTGGGGAGCCCTGGCTACCATCCGCGATAGCGAAGCTGGCACTGTTTTCAGTCGGTCTGTGTGTCTGTGTGTCATCAGGCCAAACCACAGCAAAATTACTCCGAAACTACCAGAAAACAACCAGGAAAGCTGTTTTGAGCATTTTTGCAATTTTTATATTTCTGTCTGTCTGCACGTCTGTTTGTGAACAATTCTTGTGAACACAGCAGCATCACAGCCTTTCAAGATGCAGTAACAAAACATTACAGGTAAATAGTTGTGATAAAAAGGTAGGCTGAGTTTGAAGATGGGCATGTTCTGAACTATACTGTTAGAAATGCCTCCTTCGCAATCGCAGCTGGTGCGATTCCAGATCGTATAGATTCCTCTATACGTCTCTTAAGCTGTTCAGGGTCCAGTGGTAAGATACTTCAGATCACGCTAATTTATGGGACCAAAAACCATCAACCAGGAGCAGCCACAAAGCTCAGAGGTTGGAGCAATGTCTTATAAACCAGGAGTCAGGATTTCTAAACTCAGTGGGGCCACGGCACCATTTTGCAGAAGGAATTAGCGCATTGTCTGGTGAGAATTCAACATTCCTCATCAAATCTTTTAATAACAGGAAAGACTTTTGGACCACTGCTATAGAAAGCAATATCTGGATGAAACATTGTGCAGTATGTAGGTGTTACAAAGAAAATGCAGACTTTTTTCCAGTTGAATGCGTTTAGTGTGGAGGGTGTAAAGCGAACATGGTCTAGAACAGAGAACGCAGAGAATATAGGAAATTATTCAGCTGCAAACAATGAATTGAGCTTTTCCACAACATATCGGCCGAATTTTTCCATTCCACCTGCACTTTCCGAGTGATTTAGGAAAACAAACACCATCATCACCTCTGGCACAGGAGAAACGAAACTCGGAGATCCCGCAGGGATGATTATGGGCAGATAGGGAGAGGAGATATGAGTTCATTTCTGCCTGACAGTGTATTGAATTTCTTTCATGTTCACGCAGATTGAAAGGGAGGCGAATCGGTGGACCGTGAGGTCATGAACGCTCAGTGGTTTTGCACATTGCTCGCTGCATTTTATGTAAATTTTTTCTTGTGTACCTGTGTGTAGGGGAGCGTACAGAGGAGGGAGGGGTTGTTAACTCCATATGAAACCACACCACCTGATGAACACGCAACCTGAGGCGTAAAATGCTTTCATAAGTCAAGGAGACATAGCATATTATTACATTTACAAATTATCCGTACCTTTTCCTTGGTGAATAAAGGGTCATGTGATCTTCTTTAAAACCTGAAAACCCCTGTGCCATGCAGTGATCATAAGTGATATTGCCCTGTGGTTTAACCAACAAGAACCATGGAGAGAAAAAACTCCATCCAATCAGTGAGAGCGTAAGTAACTGGTTTACAACTGTTAAATTAGTTTCAAATGTTAAATCTGTTTATTCTGAACCCAACAAGTCTGTGATATTTATAACATGGTAACTGACCTGGCATCGCAAGGTGTCCAAATTTGACTTGGCGTTTAAATTTATTAAACTTCGAAATCCAATAAAATTGATTTTTATAAATGTAATAAAACAATTACTGACCATAATGGGGCATACCGTTTGCCTCGGTCAATATTGGTTTCTTTGGGTCCGGAAAATCTGATTTAGTCCTCCTGCATGGTCAATAATTGATAAATATGAACTAGACGGTCGGTCACCCTCGGGTCGACGTGTATCCCCAAACCCCCTAAAGCGAACACTCCCAAAATCGATAGGCTTTGTGACCTCACCACACAAGGCCAACGCCAAATTTGAAATAAATCCGCTGAAATGGGTGGCCTGTAGAGCGCTCCATGAACGCAGCAGACACGACGGGCGGAAGCCGCGGCGAACGCAGCACAACGCTCACTGATCCACAGTATCCCCGACTCATCGTCTGGGGATACGACAAGACGACCTTGTGATCAATAACTCCTGCCACCATTTTCAAACCCAATCAAGGTCATGACTAGTGTCATCCACACACAACATTTCATTCACCGAGGTGCACTGGTTTCTGAGAAAATGTGTCCTCAGTTACCCAGCCAGACGAAGGATGGACAAGGTCTACTTCATTGTCCCCCACTCCAAATACGTCGTGGCCGGGGATAATAAATAGGAACAGAGTAGCCAGGGAAGTAGGTGCAGTTTACCCCTTGACTACATTTCTCTGCACAGATTACCACGCACACTTTTGTGCAACTGATGCATGTATGTTTGCACGTGTTTACCTCTGTTCGTGCCGTACACTGACAGTGAACGTGTGTACATTTAAGTTTGCCAGCCTGTAAACACAGGCAGGCTGCGTTCAAACAGTCTTTTTTGCCGAGGAAAGTTCCTAATTCCTTGAAAATGACCTAGAAGTATTTACATGGCAGCCGTGGTGAGTGCTGTTCCAATTCTCTAAATGCTAAGGAATGGACTTCAGTGCTCCCTAACTTATCACCTTTAGCAGGGTCCACCAGAGCATCTTATACGAAAGGAAAGGAGAGATAACGCTGTCCCACAATTCCTTGTCTCAGCAATGTTTATAGCGACGCGCCATCTATCCATTCATTCACCAATACAAAGAGGATTGGCAAGGGATGCACCATGACCTTGCCTAGTGTTGCTGCACTCTGATTCTCCAAGCACCATAACTGTCTTTCCCTAAGTCCTTATGAATTCTTCCTCACACCTTTCCTCTCAAGACATTTTCCATCCAGGATAAGAAAAAGTGGTCAGGAATTAGACAGTAAGACGTAGCTTTTGACTTTTTTGAGCACAACCACAGCGGCCAGTCTATCCCCATCACCCATACTATTCGCCCTCCCCCCGCTGTCCATCATGACCTTTAACCAATCCTGTCCCATGCCCTCACATCAGCTAGCTAAAGCAGAGGAACGCCCACTCCAAGTGGCAATATCAAAATGAAGAAGGCAGCAGGTAAAAGGAGACTTCTGTCATCTGAGCTTCAGTGGGGGATATAAACACAGGCTCTAGGCATCTGAATAAAGCAGGCGGTAATTCTCAACACAGATTGTACTCTCCTTTTCACTGTTTTACAACATAATGCAAATGTTCTTTAGCTATTCCAAATACGGCATAATACTGTTATTATTTGTCTAAGATCCCGAGGGTCAGAACAAAACAACATTAAAATCACAATCAAAATAAAGCTACCCTTCTTAATACCTTTTCAGAGGGTTTGACCTCGAAAATCATGCTCAGGTTTTTTTGCATAATTATTGACTTAGTTCACGAGTAGCAAGAACAGGAGCTGCACAGAAAAAAACACACGAGGGGAAAAACGCTAAAATACCATTGCGCACAATTAAATGACTGTGGTAACTTGAGGGTAATTGTTCTCAGAAACTAATTCAAGAGTCAAAAATGCAGTGTATATGTTTTAGCAATTGCATCTGAGTTTGAGCTAATTACATTGTCTTCTGCAAATACTTGAATAAATAGCGGCAATTTGCATTGAGTGGCTTCACTGGAAGTCTTAATGCCTCTGTTAACAGGGAAATGAGGCAATTGTAAGCAAGACTTTTTTATCCCCCACTTACCCCTCATTTTCTGAGCAATATGAATGCTTCTAAACTAATGCCCATGTACTATTGCCGCGTTCCATTTACCTCGGAAGTCGGAGGTCGGAGCTGGGAATGACGTCACAGCCGAGTTATCAGCGTTCCAGTTACAAAGTCGGAAAAAAGCTGCCAACCGCCATAAACCGGGAAGAAGAGTAGTAAACAAGATGGTCACGTCTACGAAAGCTATTCTCGCGTTTGCCTTGTCCGAATATAAGCAACTTCTGGACAAATATGCGGTCCTTCTGCAACCTTCAAATACGGTGGATTTCCATATATATACGTCGAACAATGTATACGGCTGATTTAGTGCGACAAACACGAGTCAGAAGTAATAAACGGAATATTACAGGAGCTTCTAGCTACTGTTTACTCCTGGGGCAGCCATCTTTGAATGTTAACTCGGGGGTAGTGAAGATTCTCCGACTTTCCGAGTCGGAAATCTGACCTCGGGGGGCGTTCCAGTTGAAACTTCCGACTCGGAACTCGGAAATTCCGACTTCCGAGTACAAATGGAACGCAGCATAAAGCACACCAGGTGAGTGAAAAAGTAGTGAACGAATCTCACTTGGGTCCAGAAAACAATATATTTGCACATTACTTTTTTTTTAATATGAATTAGAAATGTTACTAATTTATGTTACAGGACTTCAAATCATAGATGTGACCACCAACATTGAACAATAGTGAGATACGCTAATCTGGAACGGACAACAAAATGCCATCATTACAGAGAGGGTTGGGAGAAAGCAGTAACCTGATAAATAAGTAATAATATTGTATTAAGTCAGTGAGTAAGCCATGTTTCCAGTACATTTATGGAAAAACAAACAGCACAGCATTTCCATTTACCTTGAAGTCATCTGGAAGGAGAAGTTTGCCGGCCCTTAGGAAGCTGAGAATGTACCGGAATATCTCCCCATCGCGATCAATGAAGTAGTGCTGCTTCAGGCTGTCCAAAACAATGGGCTC